AAAAAAAAAAAAAAAAAAAAAAAAAAAAAAAAAAAAAAAGAAGAAGAAGAAGAAAGGAAGGAAGAAAATTACTTTAATGTTACTGTCCAAGTTAGTCTATATTTTCCATCTTATTTAAAATAAATATCCTTGACACATATATGCATATAACCTGATACCATTTACTAACCTCAGTGTCCTAGTTTTTTTAAATGTTTACCTTCTAATGCATTACTTACTTTGCTTATATTTGCTTATCTTTTTATATTTATTTTATGTATGCATATGGTATACCTATGGTTACATATATATCATATTTATACATATATATGTGTATATTTTATATACATACATCTATATCTACTTCTTTTAATAGATGTCAGTTCTAGAAAGGCAGGAATCTGTTTTGTTCATTGATATGTCAAAAGCAAATGGAAAGACAGGTATGATGGTGCATGCCTGTCATCTCAGAAAAATATGACATAAAAGAATGCTTGTCACATAGTAAACACACAGTGAACAGTTATTTTGCTAAAGGAATTCCCCCAGATATGGTATTTGTTTCAGGCTTTTTTGGCTTTTATCTAGTAGGGATTTCCTTTTAACTCTCAACTGACAGCTTTTACTATCCAGTGTAGACATTTATGTTTTCTTGCACTTACTCAAATAAACATGCCCCCACTCTTCATGCATTAGTTAATGATTGACACTTACAGGTTGGTCTGTTTCGTCTCCAGCCCTCTTGTCTTTATTAGTAGAGCTCTTTATTGATGGCTCTTTTACATCTTTAGACTCAATAATTTTTTTGTCAGGTTATCCTTTGCAGACATGAAAAAGGAATATATATATATATATATATATATATATATATATATATTATATAAATTATTATCTTCTAAAGTTTTACTGCATCTTATCTTGCCACAGCGACTGTAAATTGTTCCTAATTCAAATATGCACTGACTTTTCAATGTTAAGATATAAAAGAAATATAGAATCAGTGAAGTAAGATTGATTTTACTACTCAGGGGTAAGAAACAATGACATCTAAAATCCGTAGCCAAATGGACAGAACTAGAAAAAAAAAACATACTAAGTGAGGTAACCCAAAACCAAAACCACAAATATAGTATGTGGTCACTCACAAGTGGATATCATACATAAAGCAAAAGATACCCACCCTAAAGTCCACAACCCCAGAGAAGCCAGAACCCTCTTCCAGAAACAGATGGAAGCAGATGCAGAAATCCACAACTAACCAATGGGCCAAGCTCCTGGAGTACAATCAAAGTGAGGGAGGAGTGATAATATGAACAAAGGAGTCAAGACCATGATGGGGAAACCCACAGAATCAGCTGGGCTGAGCTAGTGAGAAATCACTGACTCAGGTCTGACAAATGGGGAATCTGCATAAGACTGAATAGACTCCCTTAATATAGGGACAATGGTGTGACTGGAGCAATATATGAGGCCACTGGCTGTGGGTCCAAGATCTAACTCTAATGCACAAACTGACTTAGTGGAGCCCATTCTCTATGGAGAGATACCTTGCACAGCCTAGGGTGTGGGGGTGGAGAGGTGCCTTGGTCCTGCCTCAAGGAGATGATGGGACAGACTTAGTAGACTTCCTAGGGGAGGCCTTACCTTCTCCATGGAGCGGATGGGAGAAGAGGGGGGGTGGGGGAGGAGCTGGAGGAGAGGAAGGAGGGGGAACTGGGATTGGAATGTAAAAATTAATAAAAAATTAAAGAAAAAAAATTATTTTAATATTTATTACTGAAAGACTGTATGTATGTATGTATGTATGTATGTATGTATGTATGTATGTATGTATGTATGTATGTCTGTCTTTGGTTTTTCAAGATAGGTTTTCTCTGATTACTATGGAGTCTGTCCTGGCACTCGCTCTGTAGACCAAGCTGGTCTCAAACTCAGAGAGATCCACCTGCCTCTGCCTCCCGAGTGCTGGGATTAAAGGCATGTGCCACCAACACAGGGCAAAAGACGTATATTTTTTATAGACTAATTTGGAGTAAAATGTTTGGATATCACACAGTATTTTCTCTAAAAGGTTTTTAAAGAAATCACCTGGCTGTCAGGAGATTAGTCATGCTTATATCTTAGAGTTTCAGAGAAAGAATTGAATGTTTTAATGATAGAAGCAGGGGCCAGTAATTATTGCATTGCAAGTGAACTCACAAATGGCAGCATAAAGATAGCCTTTGTTTCTTCTTCCTTTTCCCCACTTTCCTTTTTCTTCTTTTTAAGGCAAAAGCAACAACAATCAAAGAAGCCCTGTCCAGATGGGTGAGTAGATGGGTTCTCCCTTCTTTTAGAAACCACAAGGAAAATTTTAGGCTGTTGTTTACATCTGGCCATTCAACACAAGAGATTCTTTGGACTTTGGGACTGTTTAACTATCTTGTCTCTGGTGGTGGATGCCTGAGCCTACACAAGTAATGGAATTGTATAGGTGTTAACATATAGTATTTACCAATATGCCAGGCAGACTGGGGAAAATATGCACAAAGTGATGGTTTGGGGAATAGCAATACCCTGGTTGTGATACATTACGGTTCTGCTGAACATTACCCCTGGGTAAAACTGGACAGACAAATGATCTTCTTGAGGATTTTGTGTGTGTGGTACTGTGGGTGGATGGAACACAAAGCTTTACACATGCTAAGCACGTGTGCCACCATGGTGTACACACCTAACTCCTGAGTTACTACAGAACCAGGCATCTCTCTTGCTCTATAGCTAGGCTTTGAATAAAAGTCTTTCAGTAGCCTAGGTATCTGGGGAAATAGTCAAAAGTGAGTAGAATCATGAAGTATTTGAATTTACAAGTTTCTGTGTTTGTTCTAACTGCGTTTTAGAGAGGCACTCTTGGGGCTGAAGAGATGGCTCAGTTGTACAGTGTTTACTGCAGAAGCACAAGGACCTGAGTTCAGATCCCCAGCACCCACATAAAACACCAGGTGCAGTAGCACCTGTAAATCCCAGGGTTGAGGAGGTAGAGACAGGAGGATTCCTGGGGACTACCAACCAGTCTAGCTGCATCTGTGAGCTCCAGGTTCAGTGGGCGACACTGTCTTAGACATGAAGGTTAATTCCCCGTATCTAGAAATGTGGCTATTAAGGCCGACAAATGCCAGTAATGAGTGGTGACCAATAATCCAAGTTATTAAAGCATAATGATCACTTTGAGACAAACATCGAAAGGCCTTGTGAAATTCTGACCTCTTTTGTTCCACATTATCACCAAGGATCACTTTTTCCCTAGGAAGAGAAGACTGGTCAGAGGCCGTCTGATGCCAGAGAGATAAAGCTGTATGCCCAGATCCCCCCGATAGAGAAGATGGACGCGTCTTTATCCACACTTTCTAACTGCGAGTAAGTTCCCCTCTCACCATCCATTATTGTTAAGTTTCCCTCCCTTCTCATACACAAACTTGTTTGCTTTCTGTGGTCTTTGTTGTTGTTTATTGTAGTTTCTCCCTTGACAAAGCCAAATGTGAGAATTGATTGGTTTATGAAATTGTTGATAGAGTGACACTGGATAATGCAACATTTTCCTGTGTAGTTTTTAGACAATGTTTATAGATAGAAGCTTCCTAGTCTTTTGAGAGAAACTCAATAGCACAATAACTTACTGCTTTGTTTTGCAGTCTACTTCCTAAGCAGGGGGGTGGAATTTAGTGTTAACCTGGGAAACTTACCAAGACTCTCAAAATAAAAAATAAAAATAAAAGGGGCTGGGGAAGGAGGCTGGAGAGATGGGTCAGTAGTTGCCAGACACTAATAACTGGGGTTCACACCTCCAGAACCCACATCAATGCTGGCTAATTCTAATCTGGAAAGGCAGAAACAAGGGCTCCCCAGAACAAGCTTGCCGAATCAGTGAGCTCAAAGTTTGATTGAGAGACCTTGCCTCAATGAATAAGGTGGAAGAGTGATGGAGGATGATTCAGAAGCATGAGTCCTCAACATTAGGCCTCCACCTGTGTGTACACATGGGCAACACACACACACACGCACACACGCACGCACGCACGCACGCACGCACGCTAAAAAAGTTGGCTGAGGTCATCAAACAATAAAACAAAATTTACGAATCTATTGATTTCTCTTGTAAAGCTACATAAGACCAAAGTCATGTTTAATTACTAGATGCTTGAGATGCTGCCTTTGAAAAAAAGAACTTTAAAATACAGTTCAAAATACAATATGAAAAAAGGAATTATTATCAACCTAAGTTGCAATACATTGTGAGACTAGTATTAGCCATTTGAGAATACCCTAATTAGGCTGGGTATGGTGGCATATGCCTATAACCTCAGATCCTGGAAGGCTGAGGCAGGAGGATCATTGGCACAGGGTCAAATAATGAGATCCTTTCATAAAGGCAAACAAAAAATTCTAATTGGGATCAAATTATACTGTTTTTTATCTTATTTCCCAGGACCTTAAATATCAGGTTGATATTAATTCTTATATTTTCTAAACATTCTGTCAGTTTTTAGCAGGGTTCTGTGGCTAACTTGAAAGTTGTACTCTGATACATCATACCCATGTTTTCACGCTTCCTTGTCTCTTGTCAAGGCTATAGAATACTCTAGAGTTCCTGAGGTTCCTTCACCCTGTGTTTATCTAATTGTGATACCTTCACTTGCCCTTTCTGTAGAAGATAAACCCAATCCCAATTTCACAGAAGCAGAGGGCCTCTTAATGAAACCTCAGTGTCTTATTTACAGTAAGCAAATTGGACCGTTCTTGGACACATCTGTGAACCTATTAGAGTGATATCTTTGGATCAAAAAGAAAAGCAAGCTGGGCGTTGGTGGCGCACGCCTTTAATCCCAGCACTCAGGAGGCAGGATCTCTGTGAGTTTGAGGCCAGCCTGGTCTTCAGAGTAAGTGCCAGGATAGGCTCCAAAGCTACACAGAGAATCACTGTCTCAAAAAAGAAAAAAAGAAAAGAAAAGCAAGCATGAGTACAACTTGTTCCTTGTGATGAACCAGAGAAAAAATGTTTTGCTTCAACTATGACTTCAAAGTAATCAAATATGTTTTTAATCATAAAACTATCTGAAAGGCAATGATTTTGAGGCCTGTGAGCTCAGAGCACCTCATAAGCCACTTAGAGTCAGGCTGTTCATATTTTTTGCAGACATCTTTTGGACAGGCTGCCTAAAGAGAAATTAGAGAATTCCTTCCTAGATTCCTTAGATTTAAAGGCATTCCTTTCACCACCAGCAGTGCTCAGTAGTGGGTGAGGGAGTAGAAAACCTGCAGCCTTGGCCCTTTACTTCCTGGTATTTATATAGTAATTGCCTTTGCTTTTTCAAGCAGATTAAAAATGAATAATTCCTCCTCAAGTCAAGTCACGAGGGTAAGATACATGTTCTAGGGTTTTAATTTTGGCCATGCCACCTTGTGACTATTTAATATTGGGAAAATTGCTTAACAGTTTTGCACCTCAATTTTATCTGTAAAATGCAATAAATATCTCAGAAGACTATAAAATATTCAATCAAAGAATATATGTACTAAACATTTAATAGGTAACAGCAAACTGCCCTTAAAAAGTTAGTTTTTAATTCTCTATAATGAGTGTGTATTAACTTGTATAATCAATTGGGGGAAAGATTTCAAAATGAAGGAATAAATTCTACAAATGAAGGGGGAAATAGATTCAGTATAAAAAGAAACATGAATTAAAAATCTTCCATGGGCTATTACTATTACCATTGAGAAAGAATTTCTGACATTTTCAAATTAATTAAGTTTTTCTTTGTTCTTTTAAAGGAAGCTTTCCCTGTCCACAAACTGCATTGAAAAAATTGCCAACCTGAACGGCTTAAGTAAGTGATCTACGGGAACAGATGGCTCTCGGCTTTCTAGTTATTGGGGCAAACATTCCAGAGACATGTGTCATTCCCGATGCTGGCACCTGTTTTAATCACAGTACATGTCAGATGACAGAGACTAGATGTAACCATGTCTTGAGTTTGGTTATCTAAAGAAAATGAGAGATGGCATGAGACCTGAATTTTAAGTCCCTTTAAAATTTACATGGAGTTAGAGTTGAGATGACTGAGACAGCTGGATTTCCTATGTGTTCAGATTTGTCTTGTCGGTGTTTTGAACTTGCTGTATTTAAGTTGTCAGCCCCAACCATCCCCGTGTTCTCTCTGCTCCTTACCAGTGTGAGCGGCACCTCCATCCTTCCTGCCTCTGTTCCTCACTTCCTCAATTAGTTTCCAATGGCTGCTGCAACATGGTGACTTAAACGACAGAAGTGTATTCCCTCACAGTTTTAGAAGTTGCAAATGTGAAATTAGTTTCACTGAGCCACAAACCAAGCCTTCCCTGGGGCTTTTAGGAAGAATTTTTCTCTTACTTGTTCCATTTTCTGGTGGCCCCACATTCCTTGGCTTCTGACTACATGATGCTTTTGTAGTCAAAGGACCTTCTAATCTGTCTGTGCTAAGTCCTTGCCTCCCTCCCGTCAGGACACGAGGACACTTGGCACATCAGATAGTAAGGATGACCCCCATCTCAAGATCTTTGCTTCCTTTCCTTTTCTTTTTGTTTGGTTTATTTTTGTTTTCCAAGACAGGGTCTTACCATGTAGCTCTGGCTGTCCTGGAACTCACTATGTGGACCAGGCTGGCCTCGAACTCACAGAGATCCATCTGCCTCTACCTCCCAGGTACTGGCTTTATCACAAGGTCTTTGGACACATCTCCAAAGGACTTTTCTGCCATACAAAGTCACAATCACAGGCTCTAGGGATTGGCATGGAGGTATCTTTGGGGGAGCCATTGTTTAGTCTATGGCACTCCCTCAGTCCACCACTGAGCCCTGTTTGTTCTCTTCTGTCCTCCTCTGTGAGGGTCCTCTCTGGTGATGACACTTTCCATTTCCAGGAGCAGAGCCTTTGATGTAGTTTCCTTCTAAGTCTTGTAGAAAACAAACATTTGAACTTATTATACTGTCCTATAAGTATACAGATCAAATTTGCATGTGTAAACTGGGATAGTTTGGAAAACAGCATATGCCCTTGTAGCATAAGTTCTAGTGTGAATTTTAAAACTTGATTTCTTTTCTCAATGTCAGCCATAACACACTAAATTTGTGTGTCTGTGTGTGTTTCAGTCAGAGGCCAACATTGGGTGTCATTCTTCAAAAGCCATCTACCTTGCTGTGAAAAAGGCTTTCTTTTACTGGCCTGCCTGGCCTGGAGCAGGCCAAGTAGGCTAGGGTAGCTGGCCAGCTAGCCCCAGGGGTCTGCCTGTTTTCCCCTCATAGATCTGGGATTACACCAGCTTTTTGTGACTTTTGGGAATCAGACTCGGGTCTTTGTGCTAGCAATTAACTGTCCACCCAGCCCACAACACACTAAGCCAGTCTCATGACCCATTAAAGACTCTTGCCTTGTGTGCCCTGAAAAGCACTGCCCAGGACAGTCTTTCTGTTCTTCAATTAACTGTCCTTATTGATGCCATAGTTCTCATTCTGAAAATGCCATTCTCCCAGATCAGAGACCTTTTAAATCATTCATATTTGCCTAATAGAGATTTAATGCCTAATGTTGCAGTCAGAGTCATCTAAAAACTTGTACTGCTCTAGTCATTCTCAAACATAAACATATCTTTTTTTGGCTTGTTTGCTTGTTGGGTTTTTTGTTTGTTTGTTTTTGTTGTTTGAGACAGGGTCTCACTATGTAGCCTTGTCTGGCCTGGAATTCACTATGTAGACCCAGCTGGCCTCAAACTCATAGAGATCCGCCTGCCTCTGCTTCCTAGGTGCTGGGATGAAAAGCGTGCACCACCATGCCTGGCCATACCATTCTTTTTTGTACATTTGCTTAGAAAGTGCTTCTCATTGAGTACAGCCTCGTCGTCTCCCAAGAAAAACCCCGTAAGAAATTAAGGTCAGCCAGAGAAGCTAGGTACCAAAGAGGACCCCAAGAGAAATGTACATGGTTCTGCCTAGGAGGGAGAATTAGACAAGACCTCCTGAGTAAATTAAGCGCGTGGAAGAGGAGAAGGGAGGAAGGAAGAGAAGTGGGGAGGAGAACATGAAGGAATGAGAAGGTCAAGTTGGGGGAAGGACAGAGAGGGAGAGCAAAGAAGGAAATATCTTGATAGAAGGAACCATTACAGGATTAACCAAAAAACCAGCACTAGGGAAATTCCCCAGGATACACAAAACTCTAAGCAATAGTGGAGAGGGGGACTAATCTGGCCCTCCCCTGTAATCAGATTGAGGACCATGGTAATTGTCAAACCTTCATCCAATAACTGATGAAAGCAGATGCAGAGATCCACAGCTAAGCACTAAGTCAAGCTCCCCAGAGTCCAATCAAAGAGAGGGAGAAGTGATAATGTGAGCAAAGGGGTCAAGACCATTGTGGGGAAACCCACAGAAATAACTGACCTGAGCTAGTGAGAGCTCACTGGCTCCAGACTGACAGTTGTGGAACCTGCATAGGACCAAACTAGACCCCCTGAATGCAGGTGACAGTGGCTGGATTGGGCAGTCTATGAGGCCACTGGCAGTAGGTCCAGTATCTACCTGTAAGTACATGAACTGGCCTTTTGGAACCCATTTCCTATGGAGAGATACCTTTCTCAGCCTAGACACGGGGAGGCAGGGAGAGCTTGGTCAGACCTCAACGTGGTGATGGGACAGACTTCATTGACTCCCCATGGGAGACCGTACTCTCTCTGAGGAAGAGATGGGGGTGGGGTGAGGGGAGGGAGGGAGAACTGGGATTGATATGTAAAATTAAAAAATAAAATTAAGTTAAAAGAAATTAAGGTCAGGATTTAAGAATGCCACATTTAAAGGCCATTTCATCTCCTCTGGACTTTCCATATCTCCACCATCATGATCACTACCTGGAGAATATTTATAATTTACCTTAGATTTTAATAATATTTACCTACAATACAGTTAATGTAAAGATCAGCTGAGTTAATATAAATAAAGTAAAGAATTGTATATGATACATATAAAATGAGGGTTAAAGCTGGCTGTGGTAGTGTACATACATAATTTGAGCTACTTGGGAGGTTGCGGAAGAAGTTTTGAGTTGAGGGCACCATGAGCAGCCTTTACAGGGCCCTGTCTCAAGAATAGGACTTTTTTAAAGAGGGAAGGACTGAAGCTAGACATAGTGGCTCAAGCCTATAATCTCAGTACTTTGGAGGCTCAGGCAGAATGATCACTGCAAGTTCAAGGCCAGCCTAGACTACATGAGTCCTAGGCCAGTCTGGGCTACGGAGTGAGACTTTGTTTCAAAACAGGGGCAGGCTGGTGATGAACTTCAATGGTGGAATGCTTGTCTGACATACATGAGGCCCTGGGTTCAATCTCCAGCACCAAAAACTAAACATGCCCCCCCCCCCCCCCCCGTGAAGCTAAGCAACGGTTATTGTTGGGAACATGTTCTGTTCTGTGGAGCCCCTCAACAGGAAGCACTGCAGCTAGGAAACCTCCCTATCTTCACGTCAGACCCCTTACCCCATGATGAATGCCAAGAGAAACTGGAGCGAGGAAGATTTACTTTGACTAATGGTTTCAGAGTTTTCAGCCAAGCTCATCTAGATTGTTGCTTTGGGCCTGAGACAAGGTGGTGACATGGTAGGATGCCACAGCAGAGGAAAGTTGGCATGCTTCCCAAGAGAGAGAGGGAGAGGGAGGGGCTGGGAACAAGGCGTGTCTTCCCAGAGCACACCCACATTGGCCTGCGTCTTCCCCGTAGCACCACCTCCCACTGCTGCTGTGTAATGACACCAAATTCATCACCACGCAGGCAGCTCCCCAAAGTTCCACCTCTCAACATTTAGAACCAAACCTTTAATGCATGAGCCTGCTAGGGGGGCTGGCTCATATCCTAGCCATAGACAGTGTTAATCCCAGTCCACTCTGCACCCCTGCCCCGCACTGTCATCGGGTATTCGGGGGAAGTGTTAGCTATTTCTGGGCTTGTATCTAAAATGGTGCCTTTGTTTCCCTTTGTGCTGACTCATTAATAATTTAGGCTATTTCAGGTTTTTCCTCTCCTCAGTTTCCCTGTAATTGAAGTAGCCTGCATGGGTATGGAGATGGGAGGACCTGCTTGTGGGGGCCTGCTCCAAAGTGGGGCCTGAGCAGTGACCTCAGGCCATCAAGCTTGGCAGCAAACATCTGCTGAGCCATCCTGCCGGCTCCATTACCTATTTTGTAGAAGAGCCTTTAAACTCACTGTGTAGAGATATTTATTCTATGACATTTCTACGGACTTAGGATATGTATGTGTATATTTCTCATGAACAAAATGCTTTCTTTCCATGACAGAAAACTTGAGGATTTTGTCCTTAGGAAGAAACAACATAAAGAATCTCAATGGACTGGTAGGTTATTGTTTGACTTTTTAAAAGCATATGCTTTTTTCTCTTATAAAATAATGTTTTTATGTTGTAGAGACTTTACAAGTAGAAGATCAAATATGACAAGTGGCAGCAAACGACTCACAGTTTAAGACTGCTGGCATTTGCTTGACTGTGTTGATGAGTCCGTAAGGTGAAATTGCACTATACATGCTGTTTTGTATCTCTTTTTATTTTTATTAATTTATTTTTACATTATATTTAGTGTGTGTGTGTGTGTGTGTGTGTGTGTGTGTGTGTGTGTGTGTATTCTGAGTTATACATGGGGAAGTCAGAGGACAAATTTCAAGAGTCACTTCTTTCTGGTGAGGCAAAGTCTCTTCCTGAACATGAAGCTTGAGTCTGGAAGCTTTAGACTAAGAAACCAGCAAGACTCAAGGGTCCTTCTTTCTCTGTCACCCTCAGAGCTGGACATTTGTAGGGATGCCTGGCTTAGTTTGTAGGTGCTGGGTCCAGACTGCTTCTCTGGTTACAGAGCAAGTGCTTTTAACCACTGAGCTATCTCTCTAACCCCAAGAATACCTGCTTTAAGCCAGGGACTGGTCTAAGCACTAGATACGTGGAAGAATTTAAAACAGACTTAGTGATTCAAGTATCCTAGCACTTAGGAAACAGAAGGAGGTGGATCTCTGAGTTTGAGGCCTGCCTGGTTTACAGAGTGAGTTCCAGAGCAGCCAAGGCTACCCAGAGAATCCCTCTCTTGAAAAGCCAGAAAAAATAAGAATAGAACAGTCTTTGCTGACATTATGGTCATAGGAGAAACACTAACAGACAGCTGTGCATCAGATGTTAATGAATGCCATGAAGCAGACTGAGACAAGGCCTCTGTGATCTAAGTTGGCTTTGAACTTACAGCAGTCCTCCTGCTTTAGCCTCCTGAGTGCCAGGAGTACAGACATTTGACATCACACAAGTCTGCAATATTTAAGTTTGTACTAGACTCAGGAGTAAAGTACTTACTGTATAAGCAGCGGGGCCTGACTCTAGATCCCTGCCATGTGAAGAAGCCAGGCACACAGCACACTTGTAATCTCAGCACTGGGCAGCAGAGGCAGGAAGAATCTGAGGCTGAATAGCCTGCCTGCCCGCCTTATTGGTGAGCTCTAGGTTTAGTGGGAGACCCTGTTTCAAAAAATTAGGTGGAAATTAATAGAGAAAGACACTCAACTTTGACCTCTGGCCTCTATACACACACACACACACACACACACACACACACACACACACAGAGAGAGGCATGCAGGCACACAGGCACACACACAGATTAGTTTATTTTTACATGTATTTAAGTATCAGACATTTCTTTCTGTTTTGCTAAATTACTAGCCATTTATAGAAAAGTCTCCTTGGGGGCTGGGTTCTGACATGCTACGTTCTCTTAGTGAATGTGCACAGGTGGTGCTCTTAGTGGCTGCAGCTGAGGGTGTATCCTGTTAGAACCCCAAGGACAGGCAGTACAGATGCCTGAATACTAACATTCATGGCTCAATGATTAAGAGTATTGGCTGCTCTGACAGAGGACCCAGATTTAATTACCATTCCCACATGTCAGCTCACAACAGTCTAACTGTTGTCCCAGGTATCTGACGCCCTCTTCTGTCCGCTTCTGGTACTGCATGCTCATGATGCACCAGCATGCATGCAGTCAAAACACTTACAAAACCAGGCGTTGGTGGCGCATGCCTTTAATCCTAGCACTCGGGAGGCAGAGGCAGGTGGATCTCTGTGAGCTCAAGACCAGCCTGGTCTACAGAGTCAGTTCCAGGACAGCCTCCAAAGCCACAGAGAAACCCTATCTCAAAATAACCAAAAAAAAAAAAAAAAAAGTTTTTTTTTTTTCAAGTCCCCTTCCCACTGTTTGGAAATGCTGCCCACCAAAGTCTTGTATGTGTGAATGAGTTCCTGCTTGGTTATCTTTCTCTCGTTCCCTTCATAAATTCCTGCCTCCTACCTGTTTCTTTGGTTTTATGTTATTTGTGCATCTGTTAGGACCAATCTTCTCTCCTTGGCAAAACATGTATGACTTTCCCTGGAGAAATTTGAGAAATTTTCTCTGGAGAAATTTGAGAATCACTGTGTCACATTCATGAGTATAACTCCCTTTGGAAATCTTAATAGAAATGCATTAAGTATATAGATTGATTTGAAAAGAATTGATGGCTTTATAGCAATGAGCTTCTTACAGAAAGATTTACTCATTTTGTTGTTGTTCTTCATAAAGTTATATAAGTTTTCATTCCGATAAGACCTTCTACATTTCTTAAACAAAAAAAATGTATTCCTGGGAATTTGAAATTTTCATTGCTGCAATGAATGGGGTGACTTTTCTTCCATAAGTAGTGGTATATTCCACAAAAAGGTTATTTGTTTTAGCTGGGGCTGTAACTCAGTGGTAGAACCTTGCTTGTGTAAGGCCCAGTTTAAACCCCAGAGCTGCCTGGGGGGATAGAACTATTTATTTTATATACCTGGGTAATCAGTTAAAAACAGTCCTAAGTATTTAGAAATCATACATTCTAAAGTCTTATAAGCAATGTTATATTATTTGATTTTGTTTGTTTGTTTTTTGAGACAAGATTTTTCTGTGTAACAGCTCGGACTGTCCTGGAACTCACTCTGTAGACCAGGCTGGCCTTGAACTCACAGAGATCCGCCTTCTTCTGCCTCCTGAGTTGGGATTAAAGGCGTGTGCTACCAACGCCCTGCTATCAAATACTAATCAAATAGTAATGATCTGTCAGTGTAATTTCTAAAATTAGAAGTCTTAACAACAGCCCATGAAACCTTCCCACTCTCACAACCTCTAACAAGGGAAGAAGACCCTTAGTTGTTCTGTTTCAGTATTAATGTGATACTGAGGATCAAGCCCAGAGCATGAAGCATGCTAAGCCCACGCTCCACCCTGAGCTACAACTCAGCTGAGACCTAAGTCCTCTCAATATTTAACGTGTTTTTCTGCTACCTCATCACACTTCATGGAGACATGAGAAAGTCGGGGATCCAAGGCAGTAAAATTGTATAGAATGAAGTGTATATTGTCTAAAGACTAATTATTTTGCTCTAGAAGTTATGTATGATACTGTAATTAGATCTCTTGGGGAAAGATGACAGAATATTAGTTTAGAAAACTTAGTTAAGCCGGGCGGTGGTGGCGCACTGGAGAGGCAGAGGCAGGCAGATCTCTGTGAGTTCGAGACCAGCCTGGTCTATAAGAGCTAGTTCCAGGACAGCCTTCAAAGCCACAGGGAAACCCTGTCTCGAAAAAAGAAAACTTAGTTAAATCCCAATTTCCTGATATAGGAGTGCCAACATAGACTGGTTAAAGTTTTCCTTTAATTTCTATTTGGAAAGTTAAAACTGAGATGAAGTACAGGGGTTGAGATGGAAGAGTTAACTCAGGCTACCCTGTTCTCACCTTTCCTCCTGGTTTACCATTATGGAAAACACATTCTCATTCAGTCCATAGTCTTTTAAGGGACACTTACCCAGAGTTAGACCTGGGCCACCAGACATTACCCTGTGAGTGCATGCAAATTGTAAGGGATGAGGGAGACACACAACACAGAGTGAGCTCTGCCCAGTACTTTGTTTTAAAGGAAAAGATGATTGCATTTGTCTAATGTCCACTGAAAATCTCTGTACAAATGGTGGTTGTCTAACATTTAAGAGGCAGTATAATATAACTTTTGTGCTATAGTAGAAAGAGCAAGTGTTTAAAACTGAATTTTATATATGAAAATGATAAGGTGAGGCTGAAGAGAGAGCTCAGTTGGTAAAGTGTCTGCTCCACAAGCATAAGGAGGTTGTGTTGAACCCTCAGAACCCACTTAAAAAGAGTGACTGTAGTCCCAGAGCTAGGAAAGTAGAGAAGGGATCCCAGTGGCTTGCTGGCCAGCCAGCCCAGCCAAATTAATGAGCCCCAAACCAATGAGAGACCTTGTCTCAAAGAACAAGGTGGGCATCTCCTAAGGGGTGGTGGAGAGGCACACAGTGACGGGGTGAGTTGAGGGGTGGGTATCGAGATGGATAGATAGGATAAAAATAGCAAAATGGTCATAGTATGTTCTGGATATATGGGCTCTTAGTGTTTTAATAATTAAATTTTCCTCTAATATTGAGGAAAACCTGAATTTTAGAGCAAGTTCTAGGACTTAATGTAAATGAGATCTTAGGTAGAACCCTATAGAATACAAAAACTAAATTGGTTTTTCTACTTTTAAGTTTTCTTAGGACCAAATATTATAACCTATAAGAAAGTAATTTGAAACTACTATTCTATTAAAATGACAGAGTAGTGCCATTACTTCTCGGTGATTTTAATAGCTGTTCTTGAATGTTTGTGAAGCAATCAGAGAAGAGTTCAAATCCACTTAATAGGGGGAGGGAATGTTCTGTTCTGTCATTCCCTTCATGAACTAGAACTTCCACAGAGGGCAGGCAAGTCTCAGGTCTCTTTAAAAGCCATTCCATATGTTTGTAAGGAAAGAGTAGATCAGATGCTTTCTTTTCCAGGAAGCAGTAGGAGAGACATTAGAAGAACTGTGGATCTCCTACAATTTTATTGAGAAGTTGAAAGGGATCCATGTAATGAAGAAACTGAAGATTCTCTACATGTCTAATAACCTGGTAAAAGACTGGGGTAAGCTGAGAGTGGCGCTTGCTAGTCTCCTGCCTCCTGTTTATGGAAAATATCCAGCAAGAGCTGGGCATGCATGGGATGCACTCCCACACGCAGGGGGCTGAGGCAGGACAGGGTACCTCACAACACACTAATAAAAAAAGAAAGCACCCACCTAGGGAAAAAACACATAAAACAGGGATCTTTATTTCTAAAGCAGAGAAAAACAGCTTTGGGAATAACTGTAGGAACTCCCAATTTTTAAATACAAGAAGTATATATTTAACTATTTACTTAGACCTGGGAAGATGACTTCATTGCCCCACAAACATGAGGACCTGAGTTCAGATCCCATGTACAAGCTGGGAATAGACAATGGGCATCTATAATCCAAGTGGTGGTGGGGAGGTAGAGACAGGGGCCCGGGGCTTGTGAACAGCCAAATCAGTGAGCCCATGTTCAGTGAGAGACCCTGCCTCAAAAAATAAGGTGAAGAAGATTCAAGGAAGATAATCCACATCCCATGTTCACGTGCACGTGCACACACACATTGACTTACAGTGAATATGGCTGCATGAGTACTGGACCTATTAATCATGAAAAATGTATTATTCAAAGGCTAAAGACATCCATTTAAATTTAATAAACATGGAAGACTGATTTGATGCCTACATTGCTTTGCTTCTTTTTGTATGTTATTCTTTGAACATGTTCTAACACTGTACTGTATACGCCATGAACTATGGCAAACCCTTGAAAACATGTTGGATGGGAACATTGTTCCAGCTTCTCAGTTCACAGCTGAGAGAGTTGCTTGAGAATTCAGAGACAAAGGCCGACTGGTGTAGCCTCCTCAATGCCTCAGAAATTGATTTTGCTATTCTTTTCAACACTGACCCTTTTCTGTTCATCCCATCATTAGAGCAGCATTAAAGGTAGAAGAGAGAGGTCTGCATTTTCCCTCCCATCCAATAATTTCCTCAAATGATGACTTTATAAAGTTTTCCTTCATCTTCAAAATCTTAACAGCACTGCATAGTTTTACATGTGGAGTTAGTGATTGAATTCTGTGTCCAAAGCCATGAGAGTATGACTCCCCAGTTTATCAATGTGGACAGTGTTCTTTGTACTTGCAGCTGAATTTGTGAAGCTGGCAGAGCTGCCGTGCCTGGAAGACCTGGTGTTCGTAGGCAATCCCCTGGAGGAGAAGCACTCTTCTGAGGGCAACTGGATCGATGAAGCAACCAAGAGAGTGCCTAAGCTGAAAAAGCTGGATGGTGAGTGGCTCTGGGCTCGCTGGAAGTGTTCCTGGGGATAACACCTGAAAATCTGGAATAGGGTTATAAGAGGAGCAAAACTGGAGAAAAGGGAAGTTGACTCTCATTGTTGAGGCCATTTCTGTCCTCTGCGATTTGACCATCCAGTTTTAGGCCAAGTATAATGAGAAACCCCTAGGAATTTTAGACTGGTACAAAGATCACCCTGGGCTTAAATCTTACAAGAAACTGGACTTATACCCAAGTTATAAGAATATTATTTGTGGAATATTTAGGCATAAATGACAAATAGTTGATCTTCACAATTAAATCAGAATTATATTGTAACCTTACTTCCTCCCCCGGGACTTTAGTTTCCCAGTCCCTGAGATCCATGTTTTGTCAGTAGATATTCCTGACTGACTGGGCCAAGGCCCAGCTCTAACACTTAAAAGCTTTTGGGACATTATTCTTGTTAATTAATTGCATCAAAACTTGTGGTTTGTAATATAAAAACTGGAGACAATAATACCATTAATAATCATGTCAGAGGACATATCACAGTGTTGCTATAAGGATTATGTTGTTATCAGGCTGGATGGGCTGGTCCTGTCTCCACAAACTCTCACCAAGCCTCAAACTGTAACCTTCCCTCAGCATAGCTGGAAAAGGAATCTCTTACTGAGACTTGCTTCTGTCTTATATACTTTCCTAATGTTGGAATAAAAGGCATGAGCTATAATTCTCTTTTAGACTGATTAACTCTTGTGTAGGTCTGGGTGGCCTTGGACTCACAGAGATCCATCTGTCTCTTAATCCTGAGTCCTAGGATTAAAGGTGTGTACCACCACCTCCTAGTTTCTGGCTACTGGGATTAAAGGTGTGTGTCACCACTGCCTGATCTCTATAGCTTGAGGCTGACTTTGCTTTTCTGAATCCTTAGTCAAGCTTTTTTTTTTCTTTTTATTATTATTATTATTGTTATTAATTCAAGTTAGGGAACATGCTTGTTTCACATGTAAGTCCCCTCTCCCTCTCCCTCCCCTCACCCCCATTCCTTCTGCCCCACCTCCAACCTACCCCCCACCCCATCCACCTACCACTCCCCCTTAGTCAAGCTTTAATAAATCATAAATAATATATCACTACAGAAATAATCTGTTAAACATTGCCCTTAGCACAAAGTATTCAATAATATTATTATAATTATCTTAAAATATTTAAACAATCCAGAAATTCAGACATATGAAAATCTCAGTATAAATTCATTTTTACTTTTTGTTTTGGGTTTTGTTTTGTTTAGTTTTGGGGTTTTTTTTGTTTGTTAGGTTTGGTTTTTCGAGAGAGGATTTCTCTGTGGCTTTGGAGGCTCTTGTAGACCAGGTTGGTCTCGATCTGCCTGCTGCTGCCTCCTGAGTGCTGGGATTAAAGGCATGGCTGCCTCATTTTGACTTTGAACTCCATATTCCTATCAGTTCAGCTGGGCAATCAAAAATTTATTATGACATTCTTGTCTGTTGGGTTTTTCTTTGTCTTTTGAGACAGGGTCTTATATAGTCTAGGTAAGCCTAGAACTCCCAATGCAGTCCAGCCTGGCTGGAAACTCACAAGTTCTGAGAATAAAGACACCATACCCAGCTATAGGAAGATAGTCTTAATATCTCTCTGGATGCTGCCATTGTTATAGAGCAAGTCATGGTCAGTGGTCCCTGATGAGAATAACAGAAGCATCAATTGTCCCCATTCCCAAGACTCCTGTCGACTCCTCCTGACTGTTCCTTGCCACAGCCGTGCTGTAGACATGGTCTTTTTGTTAGTTTGTTTGGTTTTTGTTTTTGAATGAGGTCTATGATGATCATAGGATTCTCTCCTTAGATAAATCACAGGTATTCATTCCCTCCCAGTAGTGTTAAAAACCAGGGCCAGAGTTCCCCTATTCCAGACCTTCTCTGCTGCTGTCCTCAGGAAGTACTTTACACACTCCTTCTTCATATTATTCTGTGTCTTTCCACGATCAGATCCTTCTCAGCCTTCTTAAGCTGTACAGAGACAAAAGCAAGGCTGTGGTCTCTTTCTGCTTTCTAGTCTGTCCCTACCCTAAAACAATCGTGCACACAGCTTGACGAGCCCAACTGTTTGAATGGGAGGAAGGAGAATACCCAGTGATGGTGACCATGACTACCATATTGTACCAAAGGCATATTTCCATTATCCTCATCAGTGTACCCACAAAGATGGTCACATTCAAAATAAAGGACCTCGTCACTCATCTCTCCTTGCCATCGCTGTGCTCCACTCTTGCAATCTTAGTCTGTGACTCTTCCTCCCCTCTTCGTAACTACTGTCTAAAGCTGTATAGTCAAACCTGTGTCCATAACAAATAACTACAGGATTGTTATTAAGTGGGGCTGCACCCTACTAGAGCAGTGCTTCTCAACCGGTGGGTCACGACCCATTTGGCAAACTTCTGTCTCCAAAAATATTTACATTATGATTCATAACAGTAGCAAAATTACAGTTATGAAGTAGCAATGAAAATAACATGAGGAACCTGTGTTAAAGGGTCACAGCATTAGGTTAAGAACCTGTGCTAGAGGGACCTTCAGAGTCTCTAGGGAGTTAAGGAGATGTATATAGTTTAAAAAATATGCACAGGTTATTCTGATATACCTCCCTAGGAAGAAAAATGTTCTCTGTTCTTGTAGTGGGAAGTAGAGTCCCCACAAGGCCCTTAAGTAGCTGCTTTCCATACCCAAAACAAGGAACAACTTAGTCGGGGTATAATTGACATGATTAACTTGACATATTTAAAGTGTAGACTTTGATAAGTCTCAGCATGTATAATCATCACCATTGTCAAGAAAATAAACATGGGCTGGTGGACGGCTGGGTTGGTCAGGTTCTTGCCTTACAAGTATAAAGCAAGTATAAACCCTTACATAAGGGCTTGCATTTGATCCCAAAGCTCCAGGCTAATGAGAGACCTCTCCCTCCTTCCCTCCTTCCCTCTTTCCCTCCCTCCCTCCCTTCTTCCCCCACCTCACACACACACACACACACAAGATGGAGGAGCTAGAAAAGTGGCTCAGTGGGTTAGGTTCAAATCCCAGCACCCATGTAACAGGCTAGGGATCCCACAAGCACCTAGAACTCCAGCTCTGAGGGATCTGACACTGTCTTCTGGTCTTTAGGGACACTATACTCATGTTCACAAACCCACAGGGGCTACATTAGGGGTTCTATTTCATTCTTTTGTTTATTTTTTTGTGACAGGATCATGCCATGTGTAAGCAGAGTTTTCTCTGTGTCTTGGCAGTCACTCCCAAATAACCACACGAAAACTTGTTAGTAATTATAAATGCTTGGCCAATGGCTTAGGCTTGTTACTAGCTAACTCTTACAACTTAAATTAACCCATTTCTATTAATCTACATTCTGCCACTTGGCGTTACCTCGCTTTCATCTTGCACTTCCTGTTTCCTCTCCATGTCTGGCGGGCGACTCCTCTGATTCTGCCCTCCTCCTCCTCCTCCTTCTGCCCAGTGTCCTTAGTGTGGCTTTCCCACCTAACCTTATCCTGTCCAGCTATTGGCCAGTCAGCTTCTTCATTAAACCAATCACAGCAACATATATTTACAGTGTAAAGGAATATTCCACAGTCATGTAAAAATTAAAAGTAGGTAAATTAATAAAACCTTAAAGAAAAGGCAAGGTGGACAGCACCTGAGAAGCCATACCTAATGTGTCCCTCCAGCATACACACACACACACACACACACAGAGAGAGGAGAGAGAGAGAGAGAGAGCGGGAGAGAGAGAGAGAGAGAGAGAGAGGAATACAATAAACTAAGGCTTCTTGTGATCTTTGCAGCCCCTCATTCCTTCTCCCCACTGCCTTCTCCCCTCAATTCCTTCTCCCCACTGCCTAGTCCCTGCTGCTTTGTGTCTCTGGATCAGTCTGCTCCGGAGCTTTAGATGAACCATGTCAAATGTGTCCCGTTCTTCCCTACACACATACCTAGACAAAAAATAACATGATTCCAGAATAGTCATGAAGCAGACAGGCTCCCCCAATACTAGTGATGTCCTAGTTCCCAGACTATACGGGAGTGCACAGTTAGTCTTGTGACCCTTTAAATAATCTAGACTGCATTTGCATGAATGAATATTTCACTTTAAAATGAAGATGACCAAGAGGATAGTCCAGTGGTAGAATGTTACTTAGCATGTGTAAGGCCCTGGGTTCAATCCCCAGCACCAAATAAAGAAGGGGGGGCGATGGGGAAAGAAAAAGGAAATAAAAGATACATTGGAGACTTGAATTTCAGCCATTCTCTCTTCACCTTTGCTTGGACTCTAGAGGCTCTCTGAGTTCATTTGTCTTCACTTCTAGAGTTGTGTAGAGGAAGTGAAATCCTTCCCATAAGAATGAAACAAGCCAGGTGTAGTAGCACACACCTTTAGTCCCAGAACTCAGGAGTCCAAGGCAGACGATCTCTGACCTCAAGGCCAGCTTGGTCTAGTGAGTTCTAGACATCCAAGGTTATATATAGAGATACTGTCTCAAAAACAAACAAACAAAAACAACCCAGTACTCTCAAGATGAAGATTGGAGGACCTCTGAGTTCAAGTCCAGCCTGATCTAAATAGCAAGTTCCAAAACAGCCAGGACTGCACAGACAGACCCTGTCTCAAAAGACAGAAAAGAAAGGGACCAGAAATAATGTTTTCTTTTTCATTCTAGGTACTCCAGTAATTAAGGAAGATGATGAAGATGAAGGCTAAGGCCATACTTTACACTTTGTTAATTTATTTAAATGTTATGAGAACAATAGATAATGTTTTGTATAATTGTCTATTTTAAAGATTTTGTGAGGGTACAGTTCTTAAGATAAAACACATCTCTCACTTCCATCCTTTAAAAACCCTATTCAGTGTTTCTCCCTCAAACCAGCAGCACTGACTCTGTGCAGTCCACCTTTGGAAACTATCAATTTCCTGGTTTTATCCAGTCATGGACCACATCACTTGTCTCCTAAAATTTACACACCAGTCATTTCTAACAGCAGAAGGACCTGTTATCTGTACTCAGTTGTTTAGTATTTTTTTTTTAGGCCAGGCAATGTAAAGGTATATTTTTAAGTCTGTAAATGTTCATGTCCTTAAAACTCAGAAGCACAAATTCATCTCCCCAATGGCTCAGAAGGCAGTGTGGGCATGGGAAGCCTTCCTGTTAGAACCACACAACTGTACCTACAACCAATTCCTGTTAGAACCACACAACTGTACCTACAACCAATTCCTGCTGTACCTACAACCAATTCCTGTTAGAACAACACAACTGTACCTACAACCAATTCCTGTTAGAACAACACAACTGTACCTACAACCGAGAGTCCAGTGGAGACACTGGTGAAAAAAGGAAGAGTGACTCGGCTCCTGGTATAGTTACTTCTTTTTTCCAAAAATATGTGCACTGTCAACTGGAATTTAGATTGTGCTATGTGGATAGTCACTTGAGTCATTATGTTCAACCAGACACCCTGTGATCCCCATCAGTGGCTAATGCAACTGGCATGGTCTGTCCTTTGATGGTAATGTGACATTAACTCTTGTGGACCTTGCCTTATGCAGATTATAAAAAATAATTTCTCGTATGTTTAAAGCAGTAGTCAATAGTTCTAAGTATCTACCCCTGAGATTTGTAAAAACTTTTCCCTAATAATTTAGCCCAATGCCCTTTCCTTTATGGCTATAAGGGTACAGACTTAAAAGACTGAATTTGGTACCTCTAAATAAATGAGATAGTTTTTCAAAATATATTTTTGAGAGGATCTAAGTTAAACAGCTCTTAAAGTGTATCATGTAAGTGGTGCTGAGGGGAGAGAGAGATGTTGTGGGATGGATCCCAGGCAAATGGCAGTATGATGGAGACTGTTTCCTGTGGAACACTAGGTGTCTTAACCTCCCGTCTGCAAAACATAGTTAGGTGTGGAGATTATGATTTATCATGTAAGACAAATATTCTGAAAAGTGTCAAACATCATAAGCACCAGATGAAGTCTTTAGTGGGCTATGATGGAAGCATCAACTTCAGAAAAGAAGTCAGGACCCCCTGCCAAATTGTGCCTAAAGTCTCAGCAGAGGCTGCTGGTTCCTGTTCCCATCTCCATGGGATTCTTTTGTAAGCAACCACAGTGAAAGAGGAAAGTCATTCTTTTTAAAGATTGCATAAGTAGTCTTGATTTGAGAAACTGAACAGCTATCATTTCAGGAAGAATGACTTTATTCCTCTAAGAGTCAAACTGATCAAAAGGGACCACTGCTTTGACAATCAACTCTAAATCCAAACAAGAATGCCTAGTCCTGGGCTGCAGACAGCTCAGAGGCTGAGAGCACTTGCTCAGGACCAGAGTTTGCTTCCCAGCACCCATGTGGAGGTTCACAACAGCCTGGAACTCCAGGGGATTCTATGCCCCTTTGGGCCTCTGGGGATATCAGGCACACATTACACAGACATACATGGAGGCTAAACACTCATACACATGAACTAATATATTTTTAAAAAGAATACCTAGTCTAATACCTTATATGCTTCTTTTAAGCTTTTCTGATGGGAAGAAACTTTATGCTGTCACTGAGCTTAAACATTCAAAACCATTGGCATTTCTATTGTGAGCCACAGGGATAAGACTTCATTCTCCTTGGTGATGCAGACACTTATAAACTGGGAGGAAACACTCTTATTATTTGTAGTTTGAACAAGGCAAGCCCTGTTACTATGTATGGCTATACTTTCTGAAAGGTACCCTGGGAGTGAGTATGGGAAGTAGATGACTTCGTGCTGGATCTATGAAATGATTTACAGTAAAAGTGTTAGTTTGTTTTTTTTTTTTTTCAAATTCTGTAATTGGGAAATGCCCCTCCCCCATTTCTTAATGTCATTTAATCAGTGGTTCTCAGAGATGTGTAAGGTGCTTTTCTGTGTCCATGTCTCACAAAAATCACTTTTGGCTCTTCTCCACAAATATTGGAACGATTTTGATGCATCTCTGTTTCTGGAATTAAAGCCAAATGCACTCAATTAGGAAATGGAACGGAAGGCTGGATATACGAGAAAGTTAAGCATATTCTCCCTTAAGTCATCTGTTACTTTGGAAAAATGTAGTTTATAGAGGGTGCATTTGGCTTATGCTGTTCAGATTGGAGACTGGACCACCTCAGAATAGATGCTTCCTGTGTTCACATGAACTTTTGCTGTTCTGTTGAATCGCTGTAGAGTGCTGGAATCAGCCCAGTATTTTTATTTTTTCACAGTCAATATGATGTTGGTAGATCAGAATTCTACTTTCTGTGTTTTCTAATGCTGAGCTAATGGCCATATTCTCTAGCCAGGCCTTGGAAGGCTTTTGTGCTCTCTGCTACCTGCAACAGAGGGCCTCAGTACCGGCACTGTTTACATTTGGATTGCATAACCCACTGTTGTGGGCTGTGTATTGTAGGCTGTTTAGCCACAACCCTGTCTCCTACTCCCTAGATACCAGCAGCTCCTCCTCTCTAGTTACGATAACAAAAGATGGCTCCAAACATTGCCCACTCTTCCCCGGAGTGGGGGAGGAGGGGTGACACAGACACAACCCAGTTTCTTGTAACATTCCTCTGTCTGGGCTTTGTTCACTTTAACCCTGTGTAGTCCGGTGCTGGTAGAATTATTGTGAGAAAGTGACATCTTTTCCCACCATGACTGGAGATGGTCAGTAGTCTGCCCTTCATGCCGTGCACAATTTCATGGGCCACACAGTCTTAGAAACTCAGGTCTGGATGCTCTACCTTCTCTCTGAAGGATTTCAACTTCAGTGACGCGTCCTCTTATGTGTCCCCAGCTCATCTTAGGACAGATGGGGTTTGATGATTTAGCCTGTTTCTCTCACTGTCAACAAAATCTAACTTTATGATAGGTTTTACTTTGTCTCCAAAGCTTAATATTTGGAATGTGCTTCAGAAAATGTATCACCATGCACACATTCTTTGCAGACTATGTCCGTCTTTTTATCTAGACAGTGTTGTGTTCAGTCGCCCATGCACGGACATTAGCTGCTGCAGACCTGCAGACGTCCAATGCTGCTTTATGTGGGCTGACAGTGAGTCGGAGAGTACTGAAGGGAGAGCCAGTGTAGCAGAGTGGAGCTGACTTGACCTATTCCTTTATCTTTACCTAGTGTGACATACTCACCATCCCATCAAAGTATAAAAGGTAAAATTTAAAACTTAAGAGTTACGTTAAGAATCGCTGAACTTTTAGAATTCCATGTTTGTGTATCTGTCCCTGCCTTCTATCCATCATTAATTGTAAGAAAGGAAACTGAAAGAAAAAAAAACTAGCCTTCTAATCTAGTATAAATTGGTTCACTTGACACATAATCAGATTCTCATTAATTTCCCATATTGGGCAGATTACAGAGACAGCCAAATTATGATCTAACAAATTTAGCAAGGAGATAGAGAGAATAAACTATTTTTTTAGTAGATTTGCACTTTAAAATTATGAGTGTGGCTAATGGTGGGAGCTCCTTCCATAGGGGAAGTGGTGCTACCTAGCCTGCATGCAGGGCTCCAGACTCAGACTGAAGCCCTTGCCTACTCTGCTGAAATTGCTGTCTGTCTGTATGTCAGTTAGGGTTTCCTGCCTTTCCCATTAGGGCTGCTGTGTCCAAGGTTATCCCTCTGGGAGGGTGTAAAATAGCATTCCTATTCAGAATAGAAACTGTGGATGTTTTCTGTCCATATCTAGATTTTCTTTCATTTGGTCTTTCAAGGCAGGTTTTCCCTGGCTGTCCTGGAACTCACTCTGTAGACCAGGCCGCCCTTGGTAGAGCCGCCTGCCTCTGCCAGTGCTGCAGTTAAAGGCATGCACCACCACACCCAGCCCATATCTAGATTTTAAAAATTCGTTTTGGTGTTGGCTACTTTACATGGCTAGGAGCTTAGCTTCTTGATCACTGGGAGACCCTGTGGGAGATCACTGTGATGCTGTCACCCAGTGGAACCACTCTGTCACAGCTGCCAGTGAGTGGAGAGCCGAGGACAACACACAGTCCAGCTGAACTCCCAGTTGCCCTTAGTGGCCAGGGGCATCATCCCCAAAGCCTTGGCTTCTAGAACCACATCCATTCTGAAGGCATTTTAACATCAGTTAAAGCTTTGGTAACAGTCTTTTATACACAGGACTTTTGTAGCATGACTTTATGATAAAACTTATTGTGTGTTAAATTATTTAGTAATATTGAGTTTCTGAATGTTATTTTGTGAAACTTGTTTTAAAATAGTAATAAATCATGTTATTTTATAAAAAAAAAGAAGTCCTTTGGTTATTATGTTTTAGTTAACATAGAGTGACTCCCATGTTATTTGATTTTTGAAGCAATTCAGCTTTTGAATACCAGAGAGGAGAGAGACATAGAGATGGTGGGGGAGAAGGAGGGAGATAGCAACGGGGTTGATTGAAGAGACACTTAACTGTTACTTATTTATTTTTTGAAACAAGGTCTCCATGTGTGTAGCCTGGGTGTCTTAGAACTCACTATATAGACCAGGCTGATCTCAGACTCAGAGATCTGCCTGCCTCCCAAGTGCTGGGATTAAAGACCTGCACTACAACACCGCTGAACTAATTTCCTTCGCACTCACCACCAGTGAGACTGTCCTTCCCCGACTTTCTAACTCTCCCACCACTGTGTCCTCTGAAGAGTGCTTCCAGGGACAGCACATTCCTCCTGCACTTGGCCATCCCTAGACAAGGTGAGCTGAGAGGCCCCCAGAGTCAGGGTAAAGCCAGCAGTATCAGTGGCATCATACACTTTGCCAGTGTATAGTCTGTGCTATCAGCCAAAACATAATTTTGTTACAGAATAGAACTACCATGTAATTTCTACTATCCCACAGTTCTTTCTAAAAAAAAAAATTAAAAATTCCTGAACTTATAGAGAGAAAACCTCAAATCAGGTCATAACTAGTTACTTTTAATTCACTGTTGCCTAGAACAAAGAATGTGTTATCCACCAGCATCCTAGACTTGAGGCAGGGGTTCAAGGATAGCCTAGGCTACAGAGGAAACTCACCTCAAAAAGACTGGGGAAGAGGGAATGAGCATCTGTGATCCTGACATTGCTTTATGTATTGTATTAAATATGGTTGTATGTACATGTAGATATGCACAGCTGTTATATACAATCATAAAAATACATTTCATCATGGGATGCAATCAGTGTTTCAGCTGTTAAAAAAATATATAGGCTAAGCATGGTGGCAGAGTGCTTGACCAGCACACATGAGATCTTAAATTCAATCCTTGCTACCAAACAAAATGATGTAGCAGCCACTGAGTTGAGGTTGCATTGGCAGGGTGATGTGGGCTGGTGAGATGGCACAGCAGGTAAGTGCATTTACCATCAAGGCTGCCAGCCTGGGTTTGATCCCCCAAACCTACGTGGAAGAAAGGAGAACTGACTCCTCCAAGTTGTCCTGTGTCCTTCACTTGTGCCCACACACAAAAATTGTACTATGCCCCTATGTGAAAGATGCCGAATCCATATTTGTCTTTAAGAATGTATATCTAAATATAGGAGTTGGGAGTGTGGTTGGTTAGCACATGAAAGCAAAGTGTGTGCATGAATAAAAGTTTAAGAAACAGAACTTTATGTTGAGGGACCCATATGGTAGAAGGAGATAAAGGATTCCTCCACATGCATACCATAATATGCACAGCCCCCCTCACACACACACACATACACACACACTATTTTAAAAAGAAAAATGTAGGAAAAACACCAATGTTAGCATTCATAAATTCATAGTCACAATTAACAAATGGCGCCAGCTCTGCCAACCCCACCAATGCCTCCATGAAGCGGAGCTCTGATCTTAAAACCTTGGAGAAAGCTTCACAGCACTTCTGTATCTATGCAGGAGCTCAGGGGCAGCATCTTCAGTCACAGCATCTCTAGAGCCTTTCCCTTTTCTCATCTTAGTATAAAATGACTGCCGTGAAACAAATGCTCACTTTGAACACACATGACTCGACCATATTTCTTCACTGAAACAAGGTGTTAAAGTCACAAAATGAAAAAGGTTGCTAGAAAACCTAAGCCCCATTTCAATTTTTTTGGTCAAATTTCATAGAAATACACTTTCATCTCTTCAGCCATCATCGCTTGCCTTGAAGTCATGCAAAAACAGAAGCCACTAAAGGGCATTGCAGAAGCAGAATGTGAAGGCACATGCCTATGATCCCAGCATCCAGTAGGAAGAGGCAGGGATAGATACCACAAGTTCAAGACTAGCCGGAGCTAGATAGTGAGACTGTATCTAAAAGAAATAGCTGGGTGAGGTGGCTCACACCTGTAACCCTAGCACTGTGGAGGCTGGAGGCAGGAGGATTGCTACAAGTTTGAGGCCAGCCTGGGCTACAGAGTGAATTCCAAGCCAGCCTCAGCTAGCTATCGAGTGGGACCGTGAAAAAGAAACAAAACAATAACCGAGGAACCGGCAACACAAGAATGTGTAGGTGATATTGCAATTTAAGCTCATAGCAAGGAGATTAAAAAATTTTTTGACATGAGCAAAAATGTGCAGAGAAAAAATGTGCAGAGCTAAGTTACACTGAAAATTTTTTATACATGTCAGGAAAAGCAAGATGAGAATTTTCACATTTTTATTTGTATACATCTATTTGATAACTTCAAATTTAGAACACTTAGCATCAACATGACCAATAATTAAATGACAAATAATTCATGTGGGGAAAATGTAGCTTGTTTATGGAAATTCCCCCTGACTTATATTTGTATCTTACACCATGAAAAGTAGGTTGTGCCTCTTCATAAAAATCACATTTTTCTAACTTGCCAATTTTAATCCTAGAGTACTTTGCTGGTAAACTGGTTCTGATGTTGAGCCGTGAGGAATGAGAAATCTGAATTTTCAAAATGAGCAGTATCATCTAACAGACTCATATTCTTCCCATGTATATAAATTAGGGACAATGTACAGTAAAACTATCCACAATATTAGTAACAAATGTCAGTCTGTACCATACAGCCTGTGAAGCAGGCTTGCACTTTCACAATCATCCTGACAGGAAGTGTCTCAGCTTCACATTTTTCACAACTGTCAAAGATGTCACTAGGAGGGCTTGCATCAAGCATTCATTTTAGGCAGTATGAACCACCTCTACTGTTGCAGCCCTGGCCAATCACGCAATTCTGTGACTGCTACACAAATACGCAGGCCTGACTCCCCTATCCCATCCCCCAGAAAACAAAACAAAAACAGGAGGCTAGGTCTTTACTATGAGAGGCAAGGCTTGTAAAACCGCACAGGGATAACAAAAGCAGCCAGACTGATCCAGGGACTCAGAAGTGCCCCTCCAGGCCTAGCTGCAAAAGGGCTGCCTCAGCTTCCTCTTCCTCCTCCTTGGCTTCCTCCTCTCGAATCTGCACCAGCAACTGGAAGAGGTTGGGTGCCGGTCGTTCCGCAGCCCCAGTCAGCCACAATTGCCTTCGGATGGCCCCACTGTGGTTGGCCCCGGCGATGACCTGCTCCAGGCGAGCCTGGTTCACGTTATCTTTATCAATGGCCCCCTTTTCCACTACCTTTTGTAGCAGAGGCTCCAGACGAATGACGTAAGATGACAACTTTTCCCCGGGGTTCTGGTAAGTGTTCAGAAATCTGACCTGTGTATCTCTAGAGCTCTCCACGCTCCCAAACACCTGCTCAAGAGCCTTCAGGCATTCCGCGGTGGTTATGGCTGGGTTGTTGGTCTTGAGGATGCGAATGACATCAGCAGCAGGGCCTCTCAAACTCTCCATCAACCGCCGTCTCTTTTCTATATCAGACACCTGCCATTCTTCTATGACCTCATTCGAGTGCTCCAGCCAGGAATCAAAGGTCTCCTCGCCAGGCCCGGGAATGTCCCTCCCAGAGAATAGCGTCAGCTTCTTATACCATATGGACTCAACAAGAGGTTGAATAACATTATCCAAAATATAATTGAGCATCTCTGCTGGCATTTCTGGGCCTGGAGCGGGAGCAGGGTTCTGAAACCCAAGCACACGAGCAACATCTTGCACAGTCCACCCTTCCCTAGCTAGAAAGAGGTGCAGCCTCTCCAGAAACTCCGCATCAGAAGTGGGGGGCTTAAAGAACACTTTCCAGAGCCCTCCTTTGCCTGGCATCTCTCTAGGGATCAGGGAGTAATCCACTTCCCCGGTGAGCTCTAACAAGGCTGCCTTCGCATTTTCTTCCCTCCAGAACATTCTCCCCAGTACTCGGTAGGGCACTTGGGGCATGGCAGCTTGGAGGGTCTCTTCGATTTCAGCCTCATCACAGTTCACAGGGATCCCCCAGACCAGCAGAGCTCTCTGAGAGTTCACATCCATTCCCCTGCACCAGTCTTCCAAGAGCGTCAAAGCCATTTCGCCCCACTATTAAGGGTGCCAGTTCTACAGACACCGACTGGACTGGCTCGCAGTGCTATAGGACCTAGGACAATACAACATGCCTCCCTCCCCCGGGTAGGCCAGGGGGCGACAAGCTTCAAGCAACCACAATTACCAGTGACACCGGAGTCCAGTCTCGTCCCTTCCGGGTCCCAAAGTCAGTAGTGTCAGGTGCCTCGGGGCACTCTGCCTATCGAATGTCGCCCTCTTTGGTCCGAGCAGGTGCGGGCTGGCCGCAGCTATTCGTGGCCTCACGGCGGGCAGGGGAGAAGCAAGGTTGGCGCAAGGCGGTGGGCTTCAGCTTCACGAGGGAG